GCGGGGAACTTCTTGGGCGTCAAGGCGTTCGTGTGCGAGTCGCAGGCGTCGGCTGCATGCAGGTTGCGTGCATCGCTTGCGTGCGCGTCGAGGGCTGCGGATTAGTGCGCGCGTGCTGCCTGAGTCCGAGGATGTCGGGTCGCCTAAGAGCTGAAGGGTCGCGATGCGCCCGGGATTCTCGGGCCTGGGCGTTGTGTGATCGAGGTCTCGGTGTTGCTGCAGCGTGCGACTGGTGCGTTGCTGATGAATTACTCGTGCGGCTGTGCGCGGCTGGGAACGAGCGTCGCCGGGTGGTCGCGGGGACTACTGCGGCTGGCTCACGGTGGCGTCCGACGGCTTTGATGATTCGCCGGAATATTTTTCCAATGACAATATATATATTCATCGGGATCACAAAATATTAGACCTTAAGACCTTCTAATGTATGATCTTATACTCCTACTTCTAATAGTCTTGATGGTGCGACTAAAAGAAACTCCCGAACTCTTAATATATGTAGAACTCGATTATTCTCTCCTTTTGAAGACTAAAAATCGGACCTATCACACATGTATAGAGGGTTGGGACTTGGTGTATTTATAGGCTACATTAGGGACCTTAAGGAGATGCTAAATATGGGCTTCTTCAAATAGGGTAAGGAAACTTAATATCTTCCAACTTCTTTCAATTCTAGAAGTTCTGATCTCTTCCAACTTAATTTCCCTTCTAGAAGACTCCATGTCTTCCCATCTTGGTAATATTTTAGAAAGAATTAAATTCTCCTACTTAAGAAAAATCTAGAAGATAATTTAATTCCTTCTCCTATTTGAATAAATAATAAAACATCCCACTAGAGTACTATTATTGATCTCCTCATTTAGCTCCAACTTAATCAATAAATTCGACCCCCTACGTAATTAATTAATTTAATTGATCGGCTTACCTCCCTATGTTCAAGATTTAACGTTCATTGGTTAATTTAATTACTGATAATATAATAAATCAATTTCTTTTATCTCTCAGATATGAAATTAGTATCACCCAGTTCTTAATCATTCTGTTGGAATTTAATTCGTCTACAGGGCTTAACATAATATACCTCCTGAGCTCATTTCGGGGACGTCATCAACCTAGCGGAGCATGACATAATGACCGTAAATAATTTTAACAGCACATCATATAAACATCATTATTTACCAAAATACCGAGTTTGTCATCCTAATAAAAGTAGAAATTACCCTTGGTAAATCAAATAAATAAATGATGAGTACATATGGTCCTCGACCCCCTTAATCCACTCTCCATGAGTTAGATCAAATCATGGCTCGTTATTTCTGGGGGCATGGGGAAGGCTCTTGGAGAGGGAGACAGGTCCACTAGGTGAAGTGAGATATAGTTTGTTGGTATTTTTCAGAGGGTGGCCTTGGGATCCGCTGCTTATCGGATATTGTCGCTGCCTTCTCTTATAAATTGTGGTGGCGCTTCAGGAAGGGAAAGTCACTTTGGGCTCAGTACCTTCGCTAGAAGTACAAAACTAGAGGTGCCTGTCATCCCTGTAGGGTGGCGACCATCGGTCATGATAGTAGATAGTGGAGGTAGCTCACCAAGGTACGTAAGCGTGCCCAAGAGCACATCTTTCGGATGCTGGGAGACGGTGATGTTAGCTTTTGGGATGAGTGGTGGTTTTGTGAAGGCCCTTTTTCGAGCACTAGACAGGTCACTCACCCTCTTTCCTTGCGGGTGAAGGACCTGTAGATTGATGGGGCATGGGATAAGGATAGGTTAGAGAGGGTGTTGGGTACCTGAGCGGGTTTTAGTGACCAAGTTTTAGAGAAAATCCAAAAGATTCCCATCTCGGAGGACGGTTCAGACAGTATGAGGTGGAGACTTACATCTTCGGGTGCATTTTTTACGACCTCGGCTTGGAGGGAAGTATGGCTAGGTGACCAGCTTAACCTTCTCTTCGAGGCCATTTGGACCGACTTGCTTTCTCTGACCATCTCTGTCTTTCTTCGGCGCCTTCTTCTGCGCCAGATTCTGATCGACTCTGTGTTGCAGGCGAGGGGGTTTTCCTTCCCCTCGGAGTGTTATTGCTGTGCCGAGATTAGTGGTTTTCAGACTGAGACTTTTTCATTTGTTTTTAGAGAGCGAGGTTGCAAGAAGGGTGTTGGAGCATTTTGCCACTTATACTCATATTTCCCTACCCACTACAGACAGTTTTTTAATGCTCCTGGGTTTTTTCCTCATAGCGCACACACTTTAGACACGTGGGCTTCCTCCTCCCTTGTCTGATCATGTGGTTCATCTAGACAGAAAGGAATAGTGCGCATAGGGATATTACTTTTATGTGCTCTCACATTGTTTTACAGGTTGATCAACATCTCTATCTCCTCACAGCTCTGAGTAGACTCGCACCTAGAGATTGGACAGGCTGCACACCGGCCCACCGCTTCGTACCACCTCCGCTGCAGCTTGTCCAGCACCCACTCCCCAAAGCCGTTGTTGGCTGAGACTCGACTCCCCTTGGGTCAATCTAAACACTGACGGATCATTCGACTGACTTACTGGAACCGCCGGAGGCAGGGGCTTAATTAGGGATCACAACAGAGCTCTCATTACCGCCTTCCACGCCCCTCTTCAGGCCTTCTCGAGCTACGACGCGGAGGTTCAGGCGCTTCAGATCGGTCTTCAGATTGTAGCCTCTATCTCTACGATAAATGTAAACATCAATAAATATGGAGAGACTTGGTGTAATTATTCCATAATTCTAGTACAATTTTATAATGTGACTAGTAGTCATCCGGTGCACATGCACAAATAACATAAAAAAATAATATCAACTTTGTATATAAAAATAATAATTAAAATAAAAAATTATTTAACAATGTTTATCATAATTATAATTGCATTGTTACATTACTTACTCTTAGCTGTAATTAGATTTCAATAAAAAAATATAAACGAGAAATTTAATATAATAAACAATATAATTTTATATATTCTTTGAGTATCATAATGATTATAATCATAAAAGTATCACCGAAGTAAAAAAACAATATAAATTTAAAATGGACAATATAAATTTTATATAATATATGTTAATCTTTTAAGATAATTATCGTATTAAATGTATTAATAATAAAATAAAATACATGTGCAATTTGTATTATTTCATCTAACAACTTTTCACTTCTAATTCGATGCATATATCTGTTCAATACTTTTATTACAAAAAAATTGGTCATTATAAAAAATCACAACTAACTTGTAAGATGCCTTAATAATATTGTAGGTTTTTTAGCACTTTCATGTGCAAATTGAAAAAACTATTGCATTCAATCAAAAGACTATTTTGTACAATTTTTGTACATAACAACACTTGCTAATTCATTTTAAAATGAAAACTAATAAAAGTAACATAACTTGATAAAATTAATATAAATTTACATTACTAAGCTTAATATTTATAGAGATTTATTTTTAATATATAGAATCACATCAAACTAATAATGGAATCCCTACAAATAGAAAAACGTAAGATAATTAACAGAATTATGGTTTATTTTTATAATTTATTTGTTTAAGACAATTTCGAAATCTATATATTACTTCTAAAAAAAAATTCTATGGAGCCATCGGATGGTTTTTTTATAGAGTCATCCACCACTTAATGTATTGACATCTGTGTGGATGGTTCCATAAGTCGAGCCATCCGATGGTTCCATAGCAAAACTGTTACTTCTAAATAGTTGTGTTGAAACTCAATTTTTGTGTACTATTCAAGATGATTAAAATTAAGTGTAAATAGTTTGAGTCCAAAATTAAAATTATTTATCAACTAAAAGAAGAGAGATGTAGTAGTAATGTTGAACGGTTACACCAAAATATAATATTACTTATTGTTTATCAAAATAACAAATCACATAATCAAGT